ATCCTGGCTAAACCAGTGGTCCCCAACCTTTTCAGGTTGTCGGGCGCCCGGGGCCGGCGCTTCCCCCCGCAAGCGCCGCGCGCCATGTGCCCGGGGCCAGCCCACCCCCGAGCACCTGGCGGGCGCATGCAAGTGCCCCCGCAGGTGCCATGGCGCCCGCGGGCACCGTGTTGGGGACCACGGAACTACATGGTTAGTGGACAAGGGCAGGCTTGCTCAGTCCTGTCTTGCACCAGGTCCAGGACCTACCCCCGCTGCATTTCTGCAGTTTAAATGTAGCAAGAGCCAGGCATGAATGCAGAAGCACAGCAGGGGTAGATCCCCGGCCTGGTTTAGTCCCAGCTTGCGACAGGTCCTGAAGCCTTCCCCTGATAGAGGCAGTGGCACAGGGGGAGTGGGCAGATAGCAATGCAAAAACCGTGCTGAGGGGGGAAAACCAGATTTTAAACCAGCTCCCTGCATCACCAACTCCTGCTTCCTGAAGTAAATACTAGATTTTTAGTATTAAAATCTTCAACTTACTCACAATTCTATTACCTCATCCCCCATATCTCAAATACAGTACTTAGGGAAAATAATTCTAAACCAGATTCTGCCTCTAAACTACTTAGAACATTTGTAACTGAAAAAGGTCTTGTTCATATCAAATCCATCTCAGGTAATCAAAAATTGCAGGTATCCAAGTCAAAAGCCATCACTAGCAGCAGCACTGACTTGCATTCTTGTTGGCAGTCTCAAGCAGAGAAACAGAAAACTGAATAAATATGAAATGTTAACTACCTTCTTACCCATAGAAGTGGTCTTCTAATCTCACGGTAAGGGGACCCAGTAAATCGAACCCTGGATGCTTTCACTATTGTTCATGAAATATTTGTTTGTGCATAAATAAGTCTGCTGACTTCCGGATTGGTTAATTCTATATTTTCCACAAGCACTAAATTTGCTTCAAGTAACAGCTTTACAGGAGGATAGAAATTCATTCTTATTATAAAGGAGACTTTAAAGTCTCTACTTAAATATAAACTGAACTAACTTTTCAGGCACCCTAGAGAGTTATAGGACAGATCACTGGCCTCCACAGTGTACTGAATGCCACTTTCAGATGCAAAAGGAAAACCAGCTGTCTTTAACAGGACATCTGGAATGCCCCTGTATGAGAAGAAATTACCAGGTAGCATAAACCAAGCAGCGGACAGAACAGGTTAGGAATAGAGCTTCTTATGTTCCTGCCATTCCCATCTGTGTAACAGCTTTTAAGTGGGCTGTTAGTAACCTGTGTAAATTAAAGCAGCCCTGAGGCTACTGTAACTTTAGCCTCTAGGTCTGAGGTAATCAAAGAATAGGGACCTTGTCCCCTCCTCTCTTCCCCCTCCCCCCCAAAAAAAAAGTCAGGGAGAGTAGCCAGAGAAAAAAAAAGTTAAGTTCATAAAGATTTCAGGGTCTGTTCAAAAGCTTCTAGTGGCCCACGGTCTGCCTACTGACTACTAAGGATAAGTAGCATGTAATTGACTAATCAAACAGTGTATGCGCTATTCGATTAGTTAATAGGGCAGTGCTGCCCCTTTCAAATGCTGTGGCAGCATTTCAAAGGGGCAGCATCACATAGAGCCTGGGGTCAGCTGAGAGTCCCCAGCAGATCCTGGGCTCTAAGCGGTGCTGCCACTTGGAAATGCTAGGAGGACCCAATTCCACAGCTGATCCCCGGCTAAGTGGTGCTGCCACTTCGAAGTACCCTCTCCCCCACTGCCTCTATCAGAGGGGGAAGCAACTAGTCAATTATCCTGTCCACTAGTTCTTAACTTCTCTATTGACTACCCATGCTCTAGGGCGATGAGTACAAAGTAAGATATTCTGTGTCTTATTTTCTATCCCTTTCTTAATAATTCCTAGCATCCTAGCCTTTTTGACCGCCGCTGCATACTGCGTGGAAGTTTTCAGAGAACTATCCACGATAACTCCAAGATCTCTTTCCTGATTTGTCGTAGCCAAATTAGCCCCCATCATACTGTACGTATAGTTGGGGTTGTTTTTTCCAACGTGCATTACTTTACTCTTATCCACATTAAATTTCATTTGCCATTTTGTTGCCCAATCGCTCAGTTTGGTGAGATCTTTTTGGAGTCCCTCTCAGTCCGCTTCTGTCTTGACTATCCTAAACAGTTTGGTATCACCCGCAAACTTTACTACCTCACTGCTTACCCCTTTCTCCAGATCATTTATGAACAAGTTGAAAAGGTTTGGTCCCAGGACTGACCCTTGGGGGACACCACTAGTTCCCCCTCTCCAATCTGAAAATTTACCATTTATTCCTACCCTTTGTTTCCTGGCTTTTAACCAGTTCTCAATCCAAGAAAGGACCTTTCCTCTTATCCCATGGCCATGTAATTTACACAAAAGCTTTTGGTGAGGGACATTTTTCTGGACACTGAAATGAGCACAGCTTGGCTAGGCCCATGGCATAGTATCTAATTGTAGGAATGTAAAATCCCATGTAAATTATTAGCCAGTTAAACTATAGGTTTAAACAGATAACCTACTGCCACACCATGTGCACAGAACATTGCGGGGCAGGGCGGGGGG